GGTAACGATAGTTAACATCATATAGTATGTAAATACCAACGTGCCTGTGTTGTAAACAGATTGTATACTCTAAACATCTGATGTGGATTGCTGGGCATCTCGGCACCGTTTCATTCCCATCCTTTTGAAATGATGAAGGGTTATTAAGAAAGGGTGCTTGAACAGAGAGGGGGAGGAGGGCATGAATAAAAAGGGAGTTTAAATAGGTCTCAGTGTTACTTGAGGCAGGCTTGACTAGATTTCAGGCTGTAACCTCAACTCTTGGAGATGCTTCATGGGTGTTTGAAATACACCATTGAGAATCTTTTGGTTCTGCGCTTGACTTCTTGTTTCTGGAAAGTGTTTCCTGTACCAGGCATGTACGGTGAGTTACTGCTGCTCATTAGCAGCAGCAGGGTCCTCTGGTGACAGCAAACACGCAATCTGGCACCTGGTGAAAGAGGCTGGTTGGCTTGGAGGCCAGAAGATCCACTTTTATTTCTGATTCTGGCCAGATACTCACGTCTGCCTATGAGAAGTGCCTTAAGCCCAGCAAATCGCTGATTTATAGGCATGGAAAATAGAAATCATGGTTTTGGTTAACAGCAGACTTTCGGGATAGCTGTAATTTGTGACTGTAGTGTGCCTGGTGGAAAGGAGCCCTTGTCTTCCATCGACTTCAAACTGTGCTTGTGGTTACTATCTACCTCTGGTGCAAGGTGTCAGTGGCTATTCATGAAACTCTTAATATTGAGAATAGAAGATGGGGGAAGTGAAAATTTGGAACAAGCTGATCTTTGCACGCCGTTTAGAGCCAATCTCGCAGGACACCAAGAGGTGTAACTGCTTCTGGACTTGTGTTTCTCTACATTGTAGTAGTTAGTTGAGCTCTCTGGAGCAAGTTACAGACTAATTGTAGCCTGTAGTTGTTGACAGTGTGGTTTTCTAAAGCTGATCTCTGTGTCATACAATAAACCCAGGCATTGGTGGAGGAATGCAGTGAGACCATGCCTAACACTTGTTTTCCCTCGCACAATCCTTTGCTTCTAAGAAACCGTGCGTCTTGTTTGCTGTAAGTGGGTGGGCTGCAGCCACGTCTGTCCTTTGGCAGAGCAAAATAAACGGGAGCTTGGCTTAAACGCAGTTAACTTCACCATGAGAAGGTCATGGGGAAAACAGCGCAGCGTAAGCAGTGGGACCGTGGCGCTCCTCGGGAGCGGCTTGGTGGTGATGACAGTGTGGTGGTTTTCCGAAAATTCCCTGATTTCAAGCCCACTTCCACTAAAGAAATAAATGGCTTTAGGTTCATCTCATCATAATGTGACGGTTTCAGCTCTTTGCCCGTCCTAGCACCCACCCCTTTAAAACAAAGGCAAACCAAACAACAACATCATTTGAGGTACCTCCTGTTGATAATAACTTCCAAATGGAACTGGGTTGCAGCTGGTTCTTCACACTTTAACCCTTTGCCTGCCGGCCTCCCAGGGAATAATTGATGACTGATTGGCCCATTAACCTTTTTTTTTTTGGTTAAAAAAAAAAAGGAAGAAGTTTGACAGCCTGGACCTGTGTAATGAGGAGGGATTCCTGGGGAAATCAGCTTGATGGCTGAGTTGCTTGCCCCTGAGGATGCAAAATTAGCCCCGTGGGACCTCGTCTGCATAGAAACTGGACACAATTAGTGTAATATCTGGCGTTATTAATGTAGTTTGGAGTAATTGGGCAGGTTGATTTCGACAGGTTGATGGTGCTAAAATACTATTATAGTGGACCTTTCTGTGAATAACTGTTAAACATGGAAAACTGTTTAATAAAATTTTGTGATTGGGCCCACAGGGATTTAAATAGCACAACCTATAATTTGACTGAAGAGCAAAACCGAACAATTCCATTCTGCTGCCTGGATTTTCCTGTTGGTGTATGTGGTGGTTGAGAACATCCACATTGGCTACTTGTAGGCATTGGGCTGGGCTGTGGGTGATATGGAGCAGGCACTGCTGCTTTGTTTCCCGGCTGGGCTTACAAAACAAAACGTGGTGTGTTTGAACAGCAAATGTATTATCAAACACGTCTTCAACTGGCACAGTTGCTTTTCAGCTGAGCTCTTTAAGGAGTAAACCTGAAACTTCAGTAGATACCAGAGAGTGAAAACTTGCATGTTCTTAATGTATCATCAGCGATGACCAAGTTTTCTTACTGATGTACTGAAAATGTCCTTCCTTAAAACACGCTGCAGCCCTCTTAACCCATGGTGGGGCTGTAGTGGGACGAACTCACCAGTGTCCTGTGTGGACTTTGCAGTCCAGAGCCACAAAGGCTGTGTAAGATCTTGGCCACTTTTGTCAGTGTCAGATGGTCACAGCAGAAAAGGTCAGGAGATGAAACAAGGGAGCTTCTCCTTCGGGAAAAGGAGACAGCGTATAAAAGAGGGACCATGGGGAATGGCTGGGGGGGTTTCCTGAGTTGCACTCCCACTCACCTGAATAGCCGGGATTGTGTCCTCTGCCATAGGTCTCCTGTAAGCAGGGGAATAACCTTGTGTAGCATTTCTGGGAAGCAAAGCTTTCAGAGGTACTGCTGCAGGGGTGGGATTTCAGCCTCACTTCGCAATGGGACACTGGTGAATTGCAGAGTGTATTTCTCATAAGCCCTTCTTGGGCAAACCAGCTTCATGCATGTGATGAGGATTATTGGCAAATAGGAGATAGGAGGCTTCAGTGATGCAGCAGCTTGATTGTATATACCTCTTTAAGGTCTGGAATTGTAATGCTGGAAAGCCACCTAGCTCTTAAATGCTGGGATGAACTGGTAGAGGAGTAGTGTAGAGAAACTCTGTAAAGATACACCATATATGCTTGTTGAGTATTAGTTATATACTGTATATTCTTCATAGAATGGTTTGGGTTGGAAGGGACTCATCCAGTTCCAACCCCTGCCACGGGCAGGGACACCTTCCACTAGAGCAGGTTGCTCCAAGCCCCTGTGTCCAACCTGGCCTTGAACACTGCCAGGGATGGGGCAGCCACAGCTTCTCTGGGCACCCTGTGCCAGCGCCTCAGCACCCTCACAGGGAAAAGCCTCTGCCTCAGAGCTCATCTCAGTCTCTGGCAGGTTAAAGCCATTCCCCCTTGTTCTGTCCCTACAGGCCCTTGTCCAAAGTCCCTCCCCCTCAACTTCTTGTTGAGTTGTTATGTATTGAGAAGTCATCCCCTGCCAGTGCGCTGCAGAAGTCTCCTCTCTCATTGTCCTCTTCTGTGTCTTTGTGTCCCTACTCCTCCCTGCTCAAAAAGGAGGTGTGGGGAAATCCTCGTTTAGTAAGACTTCAGGAGTACAAAGTTTTATCTCTTAAAAGCCACTGAAAGGCCTTAAAAATGATGAATTTCCTAAATGGCTCTCTGCAGGGGGCTGCTTCAGGTGGAATTCAGGTTTTCATGTTCTCTTCTTTCATAATCATTCCTTGTTTTCATCAACACTTGCAGAACTTTGCATATACCTGTACCTCCCTCCACTGACCATATGCCATACCACTTCTGCACAAGTAGATGACCATAACTGTGTTACCCTACAGCAGACTGGACTCAACATTAATTCCCTTATAGGAAGTGTGTAGTTTCCTCTTGCTGCTTCTTCATAAACTCCCGAAAGCTCTGTTTGTAAATAGGGCTTTTCCCATGAGTTATTAATACCGTTTTGGATAATGAGTCTACTTGTTTGTCTCTAACAATGTTGCTGAACTGGCTGTAGCTATAAGGTCACATAATTTCCCATATCTTTCTTTTCCTGGTTATCCCAGTAAAAACATAGCCTGTGCCCTCATGCACCTGGAAATAACCTTCACCTCTGTGTTTATTCTCACCTCAAGGTGCATGCTCACCTTCTGCTGGTTTTTTGGGGCATCGTTAAAGCAGTAGGCACTGGCCTTGCTAAGATGGAGTTTATCAAAGAAAACCAGTTGTCCCACAGGTTGAGAAAATGAGTGCCAGTGAGCAGCAGTGCTGTCTGCAAAGCTAGTGCTAGATTTGTCACTTAGCTTGGAACGCTTATGGATGACATGGTGATGCAGGAGTTTCATGGCTCTGAATATATAATAAGTCATTAGCAGACAAGCGAATGTAAATGCTCGCTCTAAAGCCCATTATGGCTGATGTTCACCAGAACTTTGTGCTCTATTATTTTTTGCCTTTTCATGCTTCATGCCTGCCCTTCCTAATTCCACTTGCTCTGTTTCAGCTTCCTTGATTTCTTTTTTCATTTGACTTTGGTGTCCCATGTGTGGTTGGAGCGTGTGTCCATTTATTTCACTTCTACTGGTAGATTCATGTGCTGCCGTCCTCTGGCCTGAATACTTGTCCTTGTACTCTAGTAGCCCTAAGGATATTTCCCTGACCCTTTCTGTGAGCTTCTCAGATCATTTTCTCATCTCCCATGTCGAACGTGAGTGTTGAATAGGTTGAACTGATTTTAATCCTGTATTATAACCCAGTGTATTTCTGCTGCAGACAAGAAAATGTACACATCCACTTTTAATGTTATCTGGGCATGTAAGAAACTGCTTGAAGGAAGAGGGTAAATTGTGACATTTTCTGTATTGTCAGCCTTTAACAGTCCATTCATCTTTTAAGTTCTTTTAAGTTATTTTGTGGCACACTTTGATTTTTACATTATGTAGCTCTTAGCACCTCAGGTTTAAATCTAAATAATGCTTGTTAGCCACTTTGTGTTCAAGAAGGGTATAGACTCGATACCGCCCTCACACAACACACACACAGGAGCTGAATATTTACCCACACCAGTACTTTATCTGTGTAACATTTGGAGAATAAAAGCAGTGGATCTGCAGGCTGATTTCTGAGGCATCATGCAACTGCAAGGGAATTAGATGTATCTAGCTTCAAACCTCGACAATCCAGACCTGCTTTTGCTTGTTGCGTCGCAGAACTGCTCATCAACAAAGATAGGTCAGGCCTAGCAATCAGTATCCTTAAATTTAACCTTCTCTTCCTATTGCATGTCTTTTTCAGAACAAGAAGAAAACTTTGAGTTTATCATTGTCTCTCTCACCGGCCAGACTTGGCACTTTGAAGCTACCACATATGAAGAAAGAGATGCGTGGGTACAAGCCATAGAGAGTCAGATCTTGGCCAGTTTACAGTCATGTGAGAGCAGCAAGAACAAGGTATGGTGCACAGAGGAATACTGAAAATAAATCAGGGGTGACTGATCATTAAGATGAAAGCAAAATCGAGAACTCTTGAGTTTTACATCTGTATTCTTAGTGACAAGCTGTCAGAGCAGCATTAGAGCTGCAGGTGTATCTATCGCAGGTATTTCCACACAGCTGGTGCTGTAGCCTGGTTTGCAGTTTATTTTTTACAGCAGTTGAAGTAATGGATTCTCTTTTTTGCCTTCAGTATTGCTCTTAAAATTTGGAATGAAACCTGGGGTTAGGTTGCAGACTCTCCCTATGGAGAAGTTGTATGGTGTAGTCACTGCTGCAGATGTAGGGTGTCGAGTGGTAGCCAAAGGAGAGAAATGGGCAATAACTGTTCAGGCCTCTAGATTCTTTAACATCATCCACCTAACTGTTGTCTTTAACGGCTTTATATTACAAGGAGCAGACTGATACGTTGAAATGAATGCCTGCTTTCATTGCCCTGATCTGCCAGAGTAGATCAGACACCAGTGATTATCATCAGCATAATATAATTTACTTCCCATTTTATTAAAAGTAAAAAGAATTTGTTTCCAATAAGTATTTCTGAGATAGAGAAGAATCACTGCTTATGTGTTTTCTTGCCTTTCTTGGATTTACACATTCTAATATGTGAGTTCAGGGAGCACAAAGGATGGAATTTGTATACTAACATCTATATAAAAATACTTACACAAAAGAGGATAGACAGTGGCTGGTAAGTGACTCCAAGAGGTTTCTTTCCTCTAAAGTATTACTGAGGTGTCAAAACATGTCAGAAGAACTAGTTGGAATAGCAAAGTGCAGTAAGTTGGACAGGTTTAGCAGGTGTCCCATTGGTATATTAGGAGGACACATCCCCACGTTGCCATTCTTAAGACCTGGTCCTCATCCTGCTTAAATCAATTCCTTGCAAAGAGTCCATCACTTGCTACAACTAACAGTTTACTTCTCTGAGAGCTCACAAGGCAGTTGAGTTGGACAGAGCTGAACTATTTGTACCTCCTGACAGTCTCTCCAGGTCCAAGTAGAGGTCATTGGCAGGTCATCATGGAGAGAATTTAAATGGGAGCCATCTGATTAAGTCTGACCTTTTGATGATAAAAAGGTTTCAGCTGCTTTTGCAAACCATCCCTTAGTCTTCATTAGCAAAAGCACACACATCAATGAAAGAAATTGATTTTATACAATAATATTCTTATCTAATTTATCTCAAGAAGCAAACCTGTGCTGTGACTACTGTTCTTATGAATAGGAGGGTTCATTTTCAAGCTCACTTTTCTTTAGTGCACTCTCCCCACTTCTTAGAATAGACCCCAGAACACGGGGAGCTCGTGCACGGGGTGGAGACCCCTGGGAGGCATACCAGGCTGTCAGGAAACATGGGAGGAAAGAGGAGTCCCTGCTTGGCTGGTGTAGACTTGCAGTACTTGGAGATGCCAAAGGATCACCATTTTTTGGGAGGCAAACCAAGACCTGAGGTTCCTTGATCATGTTCATTCAGCCTTGATCTAAGCTCTGAGTTGTGCCATTCGTTCAGGTGGCAGTTGTGTCATCTGATGGTTCTTATTTGTTGTTTATACATTTCTTTCCATCTATTCAGTCCCGCCTGACGAGCCAGAATGAAGCCATGGCCCTTCAGTCCATAAGGAACATCAGAGGCAATTCCCACTGCGTGGACTGTGAAGCACAGAGTAAGTATGGCCACGTCAAAATAGAGCTCTCCCTGGCCAAGACTATTCCTTGGCCAAGACTTAGGTGAACACCTGCCATGGGCTTTGTCTGCTTTGGTATTACATTCCATATGCTGTTTGCACGTTTTCGGCTTCATTATGGAGTTTGCTTAATCAGGTTTATTTTATGTTAATATGTGCTGTGCCAGATGCATCCTCATTTTTTCCCTTTCACATCCCACTTCTGAATGTCATCATTTCTTTACTTTCCATTAAAGAAAAGGAAAAAGAAGTTGTAACTTCCATTTTCCTCCTGTTTTGCATGGAAAGGGCACATGTGCCATGGTGCTATTTTCAAAGAGCTTGATTGGTATTCTTTTGGTTTGGTTTTTTAGGGTTCCTTGTCAAAAGAAACCAAAGTCGTTGCTCATTATATCTGGATACTTGAAAACTTGATTTGGGATCTTTCTTTTTTCCTCCCCTTTGTGTTTCTTTCCCTTTATTTTTTAAAACACATACGTAGTGCTCAGAAAGTATTCTCAAGAATACTTTGAGCTGTGGTTCACCTCACTAACCCTGTCTGAGGTCATTATTCTGGTGCTCTTCAGTTCTAGGGGCTTGCAACAAAGCCACAAAAAGGAAGTACTCTTGCTGTAAAGCAATTAATTGTAGAAGCAGGAGGTTTGGGAACTTGTGCATTTTTATTTCTTTGATATTTGAAAGTCAGAACTTTTCTGCTGATTTTTACATGTGCTTCACATGGAAAAATATCCTTGTTTTTTTCTTTTGGTATAATTCTTTCCTGGTTTTAAGACTTGTTGTTTAGGATTGTGACTAGTAGCCTAAGACATCCTCACATCCCAGTTAACTCTAAAGTGAACGTTCACAGAGACGTGCAAATGCTTGTGCACAATTAATTTGCTATCTGCTGATATAACTCATTCAGTCATCCACCAAACAACCCTCTTATCCCCTGCCTCATCCTTAGAAGGCTTGAAGGGAAGGTGCTTAACACATCAACAGCTTCACATCCAGACTGGTTTTAGATGCTGCTTGTGGATGCTGTCAGATATCCGTGTGCTGTCCATAGGAGATGGATCAAGAAGAAAGGCAGCTGTCCCCAGTGGTTCAGCACACAGGGATGTGAGGCCTGGCTGGACCAGGCTTCGAGCACCAGGACTGGGATGCTGGCAGAACAGCTTGGCCTGCTGCAGAGAGATCCCAAGCAGGAATTTCATAGACTGAGAGAAATAATAGCAATGTTGATAAATGAAGGTCTTTATGTTCCAGTGGCTGATAATCCAGTATGCAATAAATAAAAGAAAATGCTGGTTTGACTGGTATTTTGACATATACAGCCCATCATGACACTTATTCTTTAGAGTTCTTTCACATTGACCTGGTAGTCATTCAGCTTTACACCAGAGCTTTGATACAGCTCAGGTAAAAGGCATCTAAGATGCTGTGCTGTATATGAGAAGGCCAGGGTCTTCAGGTGACCTAGATGTATATTTAGCTCACTTGAAGTACTCACTGCTGTCTGTGAGCAGACCACACCAGGAGCATTACTGATTTCTGCTCAGTCTGTCTGTAGAGCTGAGGGTGGCATTTCCCTAGACCCTGCTAACTGGTCACGCAGGCAGAGGGGGAGCAGAGTGTGTTCCCTCCTGTTCCCACACGACTTCCGCCCCTGATCCAGCTCATAGAATCACACACAGACTGGTTTGGGTTGGAAGAGACCTTAAAGCTCATCCAGTTCCCAACCCCCTGCCACAGGCAGGGACACCTTCCACTAGAGCAGGTTGCTCCAAGCCCCATCAGCACTAACCCCAGAGGTGTGTGTTTCTCTCCCCAGTCATGCATGCATTTGTGCAGCCAAGCTTGTGCTTAATCAGGAAAAGGATTGTGCAAGAAGAAAGCAGCACTTTATTTTCTTTGTGGTTTTATTTCCACTTCAGCCAAGCTGGTTTTCCTCCAGGTTGCTTCATGGGTCAAGTTGGCCACAGATACATGGTGCCAGCAGGAGGGATGTGCCAAGAACATGTTGCTGGGAGGGGGCAGGCTTGGACTGCCCTTTTTGGCAACACTCAGTGCTCTGTTTTGTAGTGTAGAGAGGAGGGAGAGGGGGGAATTTAGAATGTCAGCTGGAACCTCTTAATTGTTCGTATTCCTGGAGATGGTTTGTACCCTCTGGGACTCTTCTTGCCATTTGGCCTTCCTGATTTTAAGGCTACCATCGTTCCTTTTGAAGAAGTTTGAGACATTTCCAAAGTGGTTTAACATAAAACGTGAACACAGCCATGAGGTGAATCTCAGCCTCATGGGGTTTTGCCAGGCTTTGCTTTATTTCCTTCTCTTCTTTCTGCCTTGCTTGGGCAAGTCCTTACCCCCCGGAGCATTTAGCATCACAAACACCAGCGCTCCTGTGGAAAGCTCACATAGTTTGCATCTTCACAAAGCCAGATGTTCGGGAGCAAAGGAATATGAGATGTTGCTGTCCCTCAGCTCTATTGAAGAGCCATCAATCTTCCACTTCAGAAGTCTCATTCTTTCTTTTTCTTGAGCTCTTTGCCTTTTTAGCACTTCATGGCAGCACTTTTCACCAGGGAATTTCTGCCTTGTTGGATGTTAATCACCAGCAGTAGCACCAGCAGCATCTGTGTGCCTTTGGCAGTCTCAGGCTAAACTTTTTCCAAGTCCTTTTTTAATGTTCCCATCCCAGAGCAAGAGAGAAGGTGAAATGCTCCTTAGGTGCTGGAGTTTTTGCCCAAGAAGATCTTATTGCATGTTTCAGAAGGAAACTCAGGTTGCCTTTTCCCAGAGCATTGGAGTCCCAGTGCTGGCTTCTGTCTGGAGCAGGCACTGAAGATGATCAAATTGCTTAGGTAATAAACCCAGCTAAATTTCTGCCCCCCAGAAAGGTTTTAGTTCTTCTAGTCTTACTGCTTAAAGAGCAGAGGATCAACGTGAGTCACTTTCAAGATACCTGGAGAGCATGGAATATCAGGTCTTTTCTGTGGCAGAAGAAAACAGGGAGGGCTTATAGACGCAGAGTCTTATCATGAGTTTTCCAGTCCAATAGTCTAATAATTTACTATGGTGCATTTTGTATCTGGTAGCCAAACGCTGAAGTTATAATTTGGGTGGCCCTGGCAGGCCTACTATACCAATCACAAGATTCAATTTTACATGCAGAACAGGAAAAAGCCTGTCAAAGCATAGGAAAGATGCAAACTCTTCTCTCTTCTGCTGTGACTCTGCAAGATGCCTTCACCCCTGCTTCTTCTTTCCCTGGCCTTTCTCCTCCTCCCTTTAAAGATTCCCTCTGCTCAGCCCAGAGCTATCTAACACATGCTGAACTCATGAGGATTTAGCATGGCAAAGCCTTTCATCAGCCACCACAGGTCCAAAAGGATGAAGGAGATGGTGGGGAGGGGTTATTCTCCTAAAAGAGCTGCTCCAAGAGCTTTCACCTTCAAATGATCAATCAGATTGAGGTGCAAGTCAAAGTGGGGAGGAGGTTTTTAGAAAAGGAGAGAGCTAAACATCTTTTAAGAATATGGACAGATGAAAATTGTCACCTGGATATATTCAGTCATGTTAAAAAGAGCTCGTATTTTGCTTGACAAATTGTAAGTAAAATGAAGAGAGGAAACTAGCTTCCTAACACCCCCAGCTGCTTCGAATGGGCTTTTTCCTCTCTTTTACCATCAAACCTGGCTATGTGCATACTGGAGAAAAGCCTGCCACCTGCTTATAAGTATTCTGAGCATCCTCCAATTCAGAATTACTCGTAGCATCAGCAGGTAAAGGGAGCTGATTTTTTTATCACCTTCTTGAAAAGACACCCAGAACCCCCCGTGTGAATAGTTATGGCTTGGAACCGCGTGTGCTGCTTTTCGGTATAAATTGGTGCTAACAGTTTTCAAGCATGAGACTTTAAAAGTGCTCAACTGCATATGGCAAGAGGAAGGTGCCTTAATTATTGGTGGGTAGTGACTTCTGTTATCTAGCACACATCCTTTTGAGAACAGTTTTTCATGTGCACATGCTGGAATTAATGTCCTAAGTGGCAGCATGTCAGTTTTTCCCAGAGCCCACTGAACTCTGTCACTTCTCCAAGATCCTCATTAGAGCCTCTGCATTAGCCAGTTGTAACCAAGAGCAGCAAGTCTGGTTTCTCACTGGATGTCTGTAATGAGTTCAACATTTGCCTTTCCTGGTTTGCCACCTTCCAACTCAGCTGTGAGGTGTCAGAGTGTTGGTATTTAAAATACTGTTTTAACAAACTTCCATGTAACTTCTTGGTTACAGCTTTGGTGTCACCACTTCAGTTGTACCAGCACTTTCTGCTGGAAGTAGGTGAATATTTAACAACTGTATTGAGTAAAAGATGCACTAGATGTGCTTCAAGAGCACAGAGGTATCCGGGAGGGAGGTCAGGTCCTTAACATCATTAGAATAATTGGAAAACTAGAAATCAGTGGTTTTTTCTCTTGCTTCATTCTGAGTTTGTGCCTCATTGAGCTCGTTGCTTTCTATTTTAGTGAAGATCAGCCCGGCCTTTGCAGGGCAGGGACAGAGATTTCATTCCCAGGCACAGTTGGCAAATTTACAGAAGTAATCTGCTCCGTAACTTAAGCTCTTCCCAACAAATCAGTGTTTCAGGTTTTTTAGTGTGTTTCAAATATACCCCTGCTTCCCCCGCTGCAAGACACCAAAACCGGTAGTGGTGACCTGAAGAAATACGCAGGAAAGCAGCTTGTCATGGTGGTCTTATCAAGGACTTGGAAAGCGTGGCAGGAGCTTTGTCTCACCTTGGTTTTTGGAGGTCTGAAATGCTGTGCATTTCTAGGGTGAGACTTGGTATGGAGAGGAACCTCTTAAACACTTGCTGTTCAAGTGAAATAAGATGGAGGATTTTTCTTGCTTAAATCTGGATAGAAATTGTCTGCCCTCTCAATTAATCCCCATTTTCCTGCTTGCCATTTGTAATAGGCTAAGACAGTTCTTCGGGAGGCCCAGGGTAAGGTGAGAAGAAAAGATGTGACAGCAGGAGAGGGGAGAAAAAAAGCCACCAAAAATGCCTCCCTTATGCCTTTCATTGCACTTGTTAAAATGCCTGTTTGTTGGGGAGAGGGAGATTCATACCAAGCTACATTTAAATAACACAGGACAAGTGACAAGAAAGTGAACCACCTTGGGAAATGACTTGGAATTTCCCAATCTGGTCAGGTTTGTCACAGCCTTCTCATTCGCAGGGTTATGGGGGGTGTGTCTGTGTGTCAGTGCAGTCCTGGCTCATGCACTAAAAGTGATACTGTTCGAAGTATCACATTGTCATCTTAGTACTTCTCTCCCTGATCTTGGAGATGAAAACATACCCCGTGGTGTGTTGGATGCAAAAGCCATGTGTAGGTGATGATATAGATGATTATTAAGGGAGTTGATATAGTTAGTAACAGAGACTATAGTTAGCAACAGAGACATTCTATCTAGTCACTCTGGGGTTTTTCCTCCTTTTTCCCTTGTCGTTGCTTATGAGTGGCTCCAGATTCTCAAGGAGGGGCCTTCTCCACTAGTTCATCATCAGCTACCTGCCACCACATTGATATTTTCTTCTTTTCTCTCTAACTCATATATTTCTTTCGACTGAAGGTAGAATGAGACATCTTTTGAGAGCACTACCCCATCCCACTCCCAATGGCTTTCTTATTCCTTAAGGGTTTTCTCAGAAGGGTTGCTATCTCCATGGGGCAAAGTTGGCCAGATTGGAAGACCTCCTACCTCTGCTTTTGGACAGGACACATGCATTTTTTAATATTTTTCATAAAATCATAGAGGTTAGAATGAATCATAGAAGGGTTTGGGTTGAAGGGACCTTAAAGCTCACCCAGCTCCAAACCCTGCCATGGGCAGGGACAGGCAGGGACACCTTCCACTAGAGCAGGTTGCTCCAAGCCCCTGTGTCCAACCTGGCCTTGAACACTGCCAGGGATGGGGCAGCCACAGCTTCTCTGGGCACCCTGTGCCAGCGCCTCAGCACCCTCACAGGGAAGAGCTTCTGCCTCAGAGCTCATCTCAATCTCCTGTTTCAGTCTGAACCCATCAGCCCTTGTCCTGTCGCTACAGTGCCTACTGGAGAGTCCCTCTCCATCATCCTCATAGCCCCCTTCAGACACTGGAAGCTGCTCCGAGGTCTCCACGCAGCTTCTCCAGGGTGAACAGACCCAATGTTCTCAGCCTGTCTTTGTATGGGAGCTGCTCCAGCCCCTCGTGGCCTCCTCTGGACTTGCTCCAACAGCTCCATGTCCTTCTTATGCTGAGGACACCAGAACTGCACACAGTGCTGCACGTGGGGTCTCAAGAGAGCAGAGTAGAGGGGCAGGATCACCTCCCTCAGCCTGCTGCTCCCACTGCATTTGATGCAGTCCAGGATACTCCCAGAGCCAAACTCCTTATCCACAAACCTTACGTTTTGTTAAGTGTTTTGTTGTCTAATTGCTTGGTGTTCCTTCTTCCCATAGACCCTGACTGGGCCAGCCTGAATCTGGGAGCGCTTATCTGCATCGAATGCTCAGGTATACACCGAAACCTTGGCACACACCTCTCCCGGGTCCGCTCTCTTGACCTGGATGACTGGCCTATAGAGCTCATCAAGGTGATGTCTTCTATTGGGAACGAGCTGGCAAACAGCGTCTGGGAGGAGAGCAGCCAGGGCCATATGAAACCTTCTCCGGACTCCACAAGGTAGGCTTGCTTCCTCCATCTCACCGTGGCACGCAGCGGGTGGGTAGTATGTGATCCTCCACATGGCCGAGGCTGCAAGCTGTGAGCAAGTAAATCCTCCTTTGGGGGTTTCAGCCAGAGGTGGTAGGGCGTTGCAGTGGTTTACAGCACAGCCCTTTCAAATTCTCCCTTGGAGTATGCCTTGTAAAAGGCATGACGTATATCTAGATCTTCACTGCATGCCGAGGAAGAGCATGTCCAAAGATGTCAAAGGATGAGTGACCCCGTTACTTTTGCACTCTTGTGAAGGTTTCCTCAGCAGCTCTACAGTGGGTTTGCTCACTTGACTGACCGACAAAACAGTGGGAGACTGGAACCTCCTGCCTGGCTTGTTCCTCAATCTGGCTGATACCATAATGCATCCCTTTGTTTCGGTCAGCCACAAAGTACCTGGCTCTGTCAGTTTGTCGTTAGTTATTATGCCTTAAGTAGTTCATGCTCACAAATTCACTCAGGAATTTGTACCTGCCATCGGGTTCTCTGCACAGAAGGTGAAGGTCCTGCTTACTGTGGTCTTGCTTACTTCTATTACGATATATGTGAGAATGTATGTTGTGTTTCCAATGGGAATGGTGCTTTACCCAACCACTCATAGCTCAGGGCAGTGAAACTCGTTCTGCAATACATTGTCATACCAAAAACTAAAGGGCTTTATGTTTAAGTTATCTAATCAGTGTCAAAGAAAGGCATTTTGAAAACACTTCCCTGATGTGAGTAGATTTGAGATGTAAGTGCTGATAGTTATAACATATTGGCTGGGGGGGAAGCAGAATGACCTCTGGCAGACTGAGTTGCAGCAGGGGCTTGGGGAGGAGAAGGATCTTCTTGCAGGGCTGGGCCAGCCTCTGAAGTTGTCTTCAGAAGTGCACTGTAATTGTGTTAGGGGCAGCTCCAGCAGAGCACCCAACATCCGAGCACTGGGAGGTCCCCAGGTGGCGAACGGCGTGGTTGAGGTTTAGCTCTGTGTTTGCCTCCTGCATATGAGAGTGATCACAGGGAATGATATTGGGATTTTGTTGATGTGGGTCTCGCGATCCTGCTTTTTCCAGTGCCAGCCCAAGTGAAATTGTAACCTGGGCCACTTCCTATGGTGTAGGAGTAGGTTTCTGCTGTTGTCTGTAATAGTCAAGTGTTTCTTATTGCATTATTTCGTTAGCACTGAAAAATGAATTTGTGGTGCCACCTTTGGTTCATCTTCGAGAATGAAGCCAGTACATTAATCAGGCTACTTAGATGAATGACTACGTGTAAAAATGTTCAGGGGGACCTCCGCAGATGTTTGGTTCATATATAACCTGTATGTCTGCTGTGTAAGTGTATATTGTTAGCAATGTAATGATTTCATCAGGTAGAGTGAAATCAATGCTGCCTTTCAGTCATTAGCATCCCTTTAATCCAGGGACCTTACATTGTTGCACCTAACAAATACATGTTGCTCCTTACTACTGAGGTGAGCTGGAGAGATACCATGGTTCTAAATACTTAAAAGGAGAAAAGGCTTATGCTTAATTGGGTTTTTATGTTTTTAAAACAACAACGTTGCTTCAGTACTCACATAGTAATGATATCATCATGAAAAATCTGAAATGTGACTGAAAAGAGAACCATCCATTTGCATTCAGTCATCCAGGGGCTTGTGTTTGGAATTGGATGCTTAAAGAAAATCAACTTTGTTCTCTTTGTATTTCATGCTCAGGGCTTATTTTAATTCTTCATTGTTTCTGTCCATCTTCGTGTTGCTATTCAGCTGCTTGTGTTTCAGTGACATAATTGCATTTTCCTTCCTGCACTATAACATTTTTGGACAGAAAGATTCAGTTTATAACTCCATCTTTCCAGATCTGTGTCCAAGCACACGCTTACATGATAGGGGAGCTGCTAGAAGCAGCAGAATTAAGATGATGTGCAAGTTTTCCCACAAAGCAATTATAATCTTGCTTTGCTGCTCCCAGCTTTTTCTGCCCTTTGCAGCAGGGACTGAAGTGATACCTTTCACGTAAATACCTGAAAGCTTTTTCAAAGTGCTGTGGTCTCTACCAGCTTCATAATCCTTCTGCCCAAGATGTGGCGAGAAAGTAAGTTCAAGTTCTTTACGTATAAGTTGTGCATTCCATTTCTCACTACTGTTTGCAGTTTGGCTTGAGGAGTCCTATTGGAAGCAGCTACAATGGACCTAAGTAGGGTTAAACAAAACTCCCTTTTTCTGTTGGTGAGGGACTAGAGGGGAAAGAGGCAACTGAAGGGGAGGGACTGGGGGAGAAGCCAAGCAAGTAGAGTGGGGCTGCAGAAGGGAACGGGGATATGAACAAGTTCAGGAGGAACACCTTGGGAGTACCTCCCTCTCCCATCTGATGGGGCTTTGGTGAGAACTTTAAGCAGGAGCACACTGAGTGTGTTAGACTCCTCACACAGTGCCTTTTAGGCTCTGGCTGATCCCAGAGCTCATCAGCATGGACGGGAGCAGCTCCCCAACACCAGCTCTCAGCTTTCTTTCCCTTCAGGAGCTGGCTGAACACCTATTTCTTCTCTGATCTCCAAATATCCTTGGACTCCCTCCTCCACCAGAACTGCAAATCTCAGCTCCCCAAGGATATTTGTTGGGGACCCTCTCTTAATACACATTTTTAGAGGGGATACATGTGTGGAGAGAACGTAGGTGGGTTTCTCCGTTTCAGTCTGTGTCTTCCTATTGAAGATGAAGCCGTCAGTGGAAACCCACAGGCTTTCTAGGGGAAAAAAAAGAGTTACTGACTCCTCCACAGATACTGAATCTGTTGGGCTTAGAGGCTCAAGGAGCATTCACATGCTGGCCTAAAAGGAACCTGGAAGTCTTGACATGGCTTCAGAAGGAGTCCCTTCTGCTTGCGAGAAGTTGGCACTGATCACTGAGTCATTGCAGTGGCATCCCATGCATTTCTGTGCTAGAGGGAAGGGTGGAGAGCCCTGGGGAGATGGTGTTTTGCAGGAGCGATTGCCAGATGGCTACTCTAGGTCATGGCATAATTAAGGAGCCTTAATCAGGACCATGTCACTTATATTTCTACAGACAGAGCTGTGCCAGGCTGTGAGTGCAGCTTGTGGCTTTCATTTTGTACACTGAAATGTAAGTATTATCAATCAAACTGAAAGCACATAAAATACACCATCCTGCTGTCCATCCCTCATCCACTCACATTCAGTTAAAACTCCTTCTCTGAGAAAGTCATGGGGAAAGATAAACCTGGAAGCGTATTTGGATAGAAGGTCAGAAATTGGGATTGGAGGGAGTGAACTCAAAGCCTGGGAGTTCCATAGCAAAACGCATTACTCCTGTTACTTTCATCAAGGATATATTGCCCAGGTATGTCCTGTACCATTAAGACGTGCCAAGTCTCATCAAGTCTGAGAGGCAGCTTCTAAAATAAGCCGATCTCCAGGTCATTCGGTGCCTCTGGATCAAAAGCAACACCTCGGATGGCCTCTAGCATCAAACTGGAGGGCAGCACAGGTGCAGTGGGATCCCCAAGGAAGCAGCCTAAAGCAGTAGCTTGAGGCAGAGTTCAGTCTGAGGGTGTTGGCATGATGAGGGGAAGGGAAGAGGCATGAACACGAGCTCCCAGCGAGCAGGAGAAGTCGGCAGAGCAGCAGCAAACCCAAGCACGGGCAAGTATGTGGATGTGAGAGGGGACCAGCTGGCCTCTGAGCGGTGGTGTCCGTGGGTCCCTGATTAGGTCAGCTTTGGAAAGCTGGTAATTGGTTCCAGCAATTACCAGCAGCCCTGAGAACCGCCGCTCAAACTTCAGGAGCCCTGTGACAAATTGAAGCTGACTGCTGGTGAAGGAGTATCGACTTCCCATTTCTAAACAGGGGGATCATTAGTCAAGAAAAGCATCTTTTAATTACTCGCAGGAAGAAAAAAAAGCAGGGGGGGGATGAGGAGAGGAAAAAGATCTTTCCGTATGGATCCTGCAGCAACTGCTGGGTTTTTTCCAGAGGTATTCAATATGAAATTTATTGTGTTGGAGAGGAGGGGGGGGCATGGGGAGAGTTTGCCTGCGGTTCCTCCTTCGGTAATGCGGGTTTAATTTGGAGTGAGAAGTCAAATTAGAGTAAATCAATGTTGCGACAATTAACTGGGTCTGGGGATGAGATCAGGATTATCCCTTCTAATTGCTATTGATACTGTTTAAGCACACTCTTAAAACATTGATTTGGAGTGGTGTGACACAGGAGTAGCCCGGTGGGGCAGAACTGCTCCGTGGAGGAATGTGGGAGCTGGGTGAAGCCAGCTTGGGGAGTCTGCACTGTATTTTGCCTGGACCTTTTTGCACTGGTACATAGCTCTCTACTAGATATTTAGCTTTTTTCTGGACACACCTCACACGTTTTACTTTCTCCGTGTACAATTCCTGCCCGTGTGGCTTTTGGGTTGCAGCCTTGCCTTGCCACCATCAACTTCCTACAAGGATGTTGGCAGTGAAACAGTTGGCCAAGAGGAAGGACAGTGTCATATCCAGGCAGCATCCCAGCCACGCTTTTTATTCTCCTGCTCAAGCAGTGCTGAGTATTTGTATCCGCTGTGGGCAAACCTTCAAGGCGAAGGAAGGGCTCCACCACTTCTGCATCTTTCCGAGAATGTTCATAAATAGGAAGAACCTCCAGCTCCGTTAAAAATGTGTTGGTATGGGGAGGGATGAGTGGTTAGTAGAAGCTCAGGAAGCCCCAAGCTCTTTAGATGGAGCTTGGAGCATCTGCGGCAGTTTTGCTCAGGTGGTCTCTTTGCATAGCAGCCACCCTGTTTGTTCTGGTTGCCAAAGGTGATAAGAAAAGAGAGAGCTGTCTGAGAAGCCCGGAGTTAGGAGCAGACAGTGTTGGGAACTGACTTTCAGCTTACAATGTAAGATCCAGTTTAATCCCTCACCCACTAATGAATCGAGTTTAATGGTGCCAGCTCGACTAGATTTAGCAGACTCCTACAAGCC